ATTGTTCAGAAAGAAAAGCGAGAGCAGGAATTCTTTAGATGACTTGATATATCCACACCCTCTTAGCCAAAACCCCAACTGTAGTAAAGCCAAGTCTTCATGTGTGAAAGCTATCCCCCTCGTGTGCCATTATGGATGTTCCTGCAGAGCTGTGCCAACTAGTGAAGATGCTGTTAGTTTTTTGATCTTACATTAGTTTTGGCATGTGTATTTGGTGGACAAGGAATTAGACGGATGGCTGCATCCGGACAGTAGTGCTCCATGGCCTAATGTCTGGATGGAGATCAGCAACAAGTGGTGTCCCTTAGGGGTTGGTACTGGGACCAGTACTGTTTAATATCTTCATCAAAGACACAAGACAGTGGGATCAAGTGCATCATCAGCAAATTTTCAGACCACACCAAGCTGAGTAGTGCATTTGACATGCCTGAGGGAAGGGATGCCATCCAGAGGGACCTGGACAAGCTCAAGAAGTGGGCCCATGTGAACCTCATGAGGTTCAACAAAGCCAAGTGCAAGGTCCCACACCTGGGTCAGGGCAACCCCTGGTATCAATACAGACTGGGGGATGAAAGGATTGCGAGCAGCCCTGCAGAGAAGGACCTGGGGGTACTGGTGGTGAAAAACTGGACATGAGCTGGCAATGTGCATACACAGCCCGCAAAACCAACTGGCTCAACAAAAAGAAGTGTGGCCAGCAGGTTGAAGGAGGCGATTCTGCCCCTCTGCTCTGGTGAGACCTCGCCTGGAGTGCTGTGTTTAACTCTGGAGTCCTCAGCACAGGAAAGACACGGACCTGTTGAAGCAGGTCCGGAGGAGGGCCACAAAAATGGCCAGAGGGCTGGAGCACCTCTCCTATGAGGAAACACTGAGAGTGGGGGTTGTTCAGCCTGAAGAAAAGGTGGCTCTAGAGATACCTTATTAAGGCCTTTCAATACTTAAAGGGGGCCTGCAAGATAGATGAGGACAAGACAGATGAGGACAGACTTCTTAGTAGGGCCTGTTTTGACAGGTCAAGGGGCAATGGTTTTAAACTAAAAGAGGACAGATTCAGACTAGCTATAAAGATGGAAATTTTTACAGTGAGGGTGGCAAAACACTGGAACAGGTTGCCCAGAGAGGTGATAGATGCCCCATTCCTGGAAACATTTAGGGCTGGATGGGGCTCTGAACAACCTGATCTAGCTGAAGATTCAGTAACGGAATGTCCTGATTAGTACAGAAAACATTTGTCTATTACACTGCATGGAAGTTTTGCTTAGCAAAAATCAGAGTTACATTATTAATTTTTCTTTTATAGGTTTGAAAGCAGGAAGTTCACAGGTCGTAAGTCTTTTTCATAACAGTGAATCTCTTGATATTCTAAAAATTCAGAACTTGGCTTCACTGGGTTTTTCATTACTGAATTTCCACTAACCTGTTTTCAGTGCGTTTTGTGTTTCTGTAGAAGCCTTAGTGAATATATTAAGCCTCTTTCCTACTTTGAGACTTCTATAAACAAAAAAGAAAAACGACATTTAGTATTTCGCAACACTTCACAACATTGCCAGATAACAAATTTAAAAGCACAAAATATTCTCATGAACCAGCAGATCTCTGGAGAGAATAAAAAAAAAAAAAAAAGAGATAGTGACTCTCACTACATCCTCAGGCTTTTAACCAGAGCAAGTGTTTATGACTTTGTTATTCATCTGTAACAGAGCTTCCCAAAACATTTCCATGTAAAAGAATGAGCAGAAATAAAACACTGTATCTGCAGTCATTTTTTACTGAAATATTGAGGAATCTGAACAAATCTAAACAGTACCAAACACAGTACTCAAGCAATTCTACAAAGTTGCAACTAAAAAGTGAATCTGGTGATTTGGGTTTTTTCCCTGTAAAAAATATTGCACAATTCAGGAAGAGAAAAGGCAACAGCTAAATCAAACAGTTCCTGCATTATGGCATAAATAGCCTTTTTGGAAGATTACACAGCCACCTTCCCTGCCACATGGCAAACTCTCAAAGTATATCTGTACGGTACATTTTAAACAGCATCACTCTGATGCTCTCTCTTCTGAATATAAACATATTTTATTCTGACCACCTATTTTTAATTGTATTTATTTTTAGCATAAGCCTATGGTAGCAATGTTTTTACAAATCCAAGAGTTCAACAAGTAATCAAAATATTATTTTTAAGCATAGAAGCAAAGAAAAACCAATGCCTTTACTGTAGAACACACTGAACTTTAAAACAAATGATTCTTTCAATCACAGAATCTTCCAGGTTTCTACTGAATAGTTCCTACTTCATATTACTACACATTCACAGTTACTCTGGCAATACTTGCCCTTCCTGACCTTAAAATTTCACCTCTCTGGTGATTTCTACTGCAGATTTCTGCAAACTTGTGCTTGTTATATGATATTTTACTGAGGTAACTACCCCAAATCTATTTCAGCACAGAACAATCTCATTACAGGGCCATAAAAGAATGCTGATTTAGGATTATATTTTCCTATCTGTGTGTAACTCCCAAAATCATTGGCCAAAGATACAAGCAGGACTTAGAAGAACATTCATTTGAAAGTGACTACTTCAAATTATTATATATTTTTCCAGTATCAGAAGGGGGCCGACAAGGATGCTGGGGAGGGACTCTTCATTAGGGACTCTAGTGGTAGGACAAGGGGTAATGGCTTCAAACTTAAATAGGGGAAGTTTCAGTTAGATATAAGGAAGAAGTTCTTCACAGTGAGGGTGGTGAGGCACTGGAATAGGTTGCCCAAGGAAGTTGTGAATGCTGCATCCCTGGCGGTGTTCAAGGCCAGGTTGGACAGAGCCTTGGGTGACATAGTTTAGTGTGTGGTGTCCCTGCTCATGGCAGGGGGGTTGGAACTAGATGATCTTAAGGTCCTTTCCAACCCAAACCATTCTATGATTCTCTGATTACAAAGCAACATCACTCATTTCATTGAAATCTACTGACTCAGTTTAAACTTAGATATTCTTCCTAACCCATTCTTTCCATATTATCAACAGGTAAGTATACCCATTAGATTTTCAGGGATGCAGGAGGAAAGAAATGCAGGACTGGAGACAATTTGCTCATCACAGGGATTTAAAAAACTATTTTAAGGTACTGTTCCTGAAGTTATATACCAAGCAGTTTCATCATACAAAGAGGGCGAGACAGCTTCTCAGGTATCATAAATTTAATAAATATTCTCAAACATAAGCGAAATCCACTTTACTTTGCAGTATGTCAATAAATGGCAAGTGTGGCAAAGATATAAAATAGTATACACTGCACAAGCACGTAATAGCTCGGTTTATACTTCTAGATCATCTTACTGCTATCTTTTCAAACTTTCAAAAACTTTCAACCCAACACTTCAAATAAAGTACTTCTCATAGTCAGTCAAGAATCATAGCGTAGTAACAAAATTACTTTCATGTGACTACCAACTCTGTCTGATAATTATCCTAGATTAAAAACATCTATAGAGCTATTCAGCAGCTGACAATGAAATCAGCTCCCTTGCTCCTGAAACCAACAGCTTATAACTGAACAAAAACCTCAGGACCAAAGTATCTAAAGTCAAGAGGGCTTGGACAAGAATCTTGTTCCGTTTCTTCCCTTCAACTTCCATTACAAGAAGCCCCTCTAGAACTTTCTACAAGCTCTGCATCAGAAAACACTGCTTGCTGGCCTTATAGCATTGAAGAGGCACAAGAGATGCTTCCCTAACACACACCTTATCAGTTAGGTAGTTCCAGAACATGGAAGCTACCGAGAAACATTTCAGCAAGCAGGTTACATTCTTCTAATGGCTGGCTGTAAGCCACTTTGAGGTTTTTGCATGATCTACATGGCTCAATGCATATGTTCCAATTTGTTCCTTATGGGAAGTCACGATTCACTATTCATGATACACTGAAATAGATGTCTCCCAAAATACCTTCTAGAGTCGTAAGACTGAGGTGAAAATCTTCCAGGCTTCATTCTTTGACCATCCTCATCAAAGTCCAAGGAAATGCGATTAGATATCCTCACACTTCTCTGAGCTGGGGACTGCCTTTTAACTGCCATTTCTGAAATAACGTTGCTGAAATTAAAAACATGAACATAAAAACTCAACAAATCAACAAAGCAAGGAAGTTTGTCACATGCATTACCAGAAACGCTACTCTCAATTGGCTTCATAAGCCTCTGTGAGACAGAATTATACATTCCTCACAAAATACACCCATTTTTAAGTCATCAAACATTCAAGTCTTACTTTTTAAACGTCGTCAGTTGTTACATTCTATATACATTAAATGAAAAGGGCTATTTTAGCCTACTAGATCTACAGTGAAAGCTTTCCTTGAAATTATTTTGTTTCCAACCAAAAGAAAAATTTCATGTATCTGCCAGTATTCACAGAGTGTACTATGTATGTTTTGCTTAAATAACTGAGGAATTTCTCTGGATACAAGAAATACGCTGAAATAGGGAGGTAAAAATCCACCAGGTTTTTTTGACAGGAACCAACACTGCCTAGGGACAGAGCTGTGCTGCTGCAGACTGAAAGGAAGCCTGCCTTCACACATCAGCTGACATGGGTCAGTCGTGCCACCCTACTAAGTAGGTCACCTTTCCTGATCCACTGCAATCTGTTGCATTGCGTAATCATATTACAGCATTAACAGACCACATCTTCCTTTGTAATTCTGTACTCAAAATCATACGTGAAGAGCAAATGCTCTGATCTATGCCAGCGCTCTATGCAGCTCATTCTGAAAACAAAGGGCAAAACACACCACCTTTCTGCCTCCACCAAGCTGGTAATTCTCCCTCACAGCTATCCTCTCTGCCCAACCACTTCCAGTAACACGTAGTCATGCAAAACTGCAGTGCTCAAGATATAAGACAGAAATATGGTCTCAAAAAAAGCAAAAATAAACCAAGTCAAAAATACTGAATATCCATTTTACGAAAATCTGAATGAAATCCAAACTATGTTTTTGGCAGTTTAAGTCAAAAGAGATTTCACTGACAAGAAATACTTCTGGAAAACTGTAAAAGCTAATTGCCACAGCAACACAGTAGGATTTCTCCTCACTCTTAGATGTGGTTTCCAATGGCAGAACAAGAACAGCATAGCTCTTCAAGTACCTATTCTGAAAGAAAGGCATCTGAAAACAACTTTAAAAAATTCTCATTTTAATCTTGAAGAAAAAACAATTGCAAATCAGTTGTGTATCTCACACGAGAAATTATTCTATGAAGTGCCCATTGGCATTAAGTGAGCTAGTGTTCGGCCAGAGGCTTGACACACTTCTGAGGGTCAAGGGGACATAATTCCTAAGGTCAGCCACACGCAGCCCAGCCCAACTGCTTGACTCAGCTGTGACTTCAAAGGCTGGAGTGTTCCCATGCTTCAGAGGGAATCAGGCTTGCTCAGAGCTCTCCTCACAGCTGATCTTGATTTATTTGTGGTTTTGCAGAGTAGGTCTGGACAGGATACGCTACCAAGCTATCAGAACATGCAGTCAATGGTATCATATTTCTCACTGGTAAGTTCTAATGTCACCCCATCATGGGTATATGAACATTTCTGGCAGCACCAATCATTACTCCATCATTTAAACTGCCCCTGTATTAACTAAAAATAAAACTACAAAGATGTTTTTAATGCCTTTTGTAATGGAAAACATCAGATTACAAAGTCACACTCCAACCCCAGTGTACCTACAGCGGTTAGATATTACATGATACTACCTCATGTCCCACCATGAGGCTAAAAACCTAAGTTCCTAGATACTTCTGCCTTCCAGAGATGGGAAGGGGTAAAGCTTTTGTAAAAACCACATGATCTCTCTCCTTCCTGATTACCAACCAACAATTATAACACTAAAAATGGAGACCCAACGAGCTTTGGCCTAAGCTCTGAATTACATTTCTTCTTCACCCGAAACAGGAGCTGAAATTTCAACTTGTAGTGCTGCAGGTTTTATTTTGGTATGGTGCTGTTGTAATTTCCACTGAGTGAAACTTCATCCCACACTCAGAAAAATAAATTCCTGTATTGTTAATATTTTCCCCTCCTAGCGAACACGCTGTCCTCACGCTGTCTGCAAAACAAGGCGATGAGACAACTGCGTACAACAGTGACCTCTGGAGGTCCTACCACAATCCTGGGGGAAAAAAACCCAGTACAAACTAAAAGATCTGGACAATGTGTGATTTATCATGTATCATAAATCTCAATAGCAGTATCTCAATCTTTTGCAGTTGAGCATTATACAGCTCTACTGCTTGCGAAGGTGTCTCATTTTTAAATAGTTTTAAATTATGGAGGAATACATATTGGGTTTTGAAGTGTGTCAGTATATTGAATGTGAAACCTTTACAGGAAAAAAATGAAAAGTTAAATTACCCGTGTTCTCTTGTCAAATAAAATTCAACACAAAATAATCATGTATGAATAAAAGTAATTGCTTTCTAACGCATTAAAAGCATTTTAGTGCCTTGTGAGATTGAGGTATTCTGGAGCATTAAGTCACGCCCAAGGAAGTCTGAGGGCTGCTGGGCTTTTTAAAATCAACATTTTTAAACACTAACCAGGAAACTGAAAGTATCACAGTTATCTCAGAAAGGTTACTATTAACGAATTTTTCAGTCATGACAGTCAGCAGGAGTTGCTGGTGTTTCCTGAAAACTCATTCACTGGTAAGAATTTCAAACTGTTACCTAACTATTAAGGAAGAAAACAAAACTTTTCAGCATACGGTGGGGAAAAAGACAGAGAGAGAGAGAAAAATAAGAAAAAAGAATCTGTATTCCTAGGGGGAAACAAGCTCGTGCTCAAAGCTGTCCCAGGGAGTAAAACTTGCCAACTAAAAACACAGCAAGCCAACCATGACATTCCTAGCCAACCAAAAAGGCTGGTTTTGGTTGAAGAAAATGCATTTTTCTAACCATTTTTCTAACCGTAGTGATTCATCCACAAGCATGTTGTAAAATGTTGTAACAGCACATCTTAATCCATCAATCAACTATATAGAGGCACTATACAGGCACAGGCACTTCAGTTTTTAAATATCTGTAGAATTTAAACACTCCTTCAAGAGAAAAAAAGTCTTTTTGCTTAGACTATAACTTCCATAGGTACCTTCCTTCTTCCACAGCAACCACAGCTGGGTAAGTGCTTCAGGGTGGCAATGACAGCGAGTCTTTGATGCCAGTAGGCAGAAAACCCCCTTTTAGAGAATATACCTTAACAAATAGATGCAGACACATATGAGGTTAGCCACTGCACACAGCAGCTCAGTCGGTATCAGCACAGTCCTCCAACATCTTACCAGGTAATGAAGTAGGTTCTAATAATGTTTAAGAGTACTTGTGTACTCTGCTCTTCTGAAAATCGCAGTGACAGAGATGGAACAACCTCACTAGTAACTGATACTCTAATGAAAACATGCTTTGTATAAAATAGTCCCTTATTTATTCTTTCTATGTTAGGAAAGGTCTCTTAAGTTTTCTGTAATATTGCACACCAAAAAAAAAACCAACATAAAAACATGTCAATTTTACAAAAACCAGCCAGACCTCTAACTTTTAAAGCTACTCATTTTGGCTCCAAAAGCCTATGGAGAGAGAAGGTTCTCCTATATACAGGCTGAAAAGACATTATGAAAACAGTGCACACACAGTGTGTCCCCTCTGGAGATGCTTGCATGTACTACCTAAACCCATATTTGCTCCTCAAATAGCACAGACTTCTATGTTTGGAGACACTTCGATTCTGCTCTCCACTAGCACCATTAGCACTTGGTAAGGAATCATGAACACAGGCTAAAAGGGAAACTCACATAGTTTCTCCCTTTTCCCTTCACAGCCTCTGAAGAACATGCATTTTGTTCAACAGAGTTATTCACTGAGCATCATCTATTCCAGTCTCTCTGTAACCATCTAACACAACCTGTCTGCAAACATCTGTCACACTCTTCCTTAGTTTTCACCCACTTAAAAGGCAGGCATCAGTCACAAACATCAACAGCTGTTCTGTGTGCAGTACCTTGATAAACATACAAAGCAGATCTTTCACTGATCCCTAGAGCAACCTACAAATAATAATACACGATCAAACTTAAATCCTGGTTTAGGACAAATTCGTTTTCACAGAATAAGTTAAAATTAAGACTAGCAGCTTGCAGTTCACACTGCAAACCACCATAAAGGTTTCACATTCCTATGTTGCTAAAGATCCAGAATTCTGTTTAGTTCAGCATTTCACCTGAATTTAATGATTTATTTTCTGAGTAGTTATCTGAATTCTAGCTGGGAAAAAAAGAAGATATAATGAAAAATCTGTCCTTAGCCATCATCCAGAAGAGCAGTATGCTCAACTGTTTCTCTTTCCAAACAAATGTTTCTCATCTGTTTGAAAGCCACACTGGAAACGAGCAAAGCCAAAAGATGAGCTTCTTGGGTTGACTGGAAAGTTTTGAAAGGAAGGGCGGGGCTATAAATAGAGCTGCTCTAGTTCAGTTCTGCAGAGCTGTCATGAAAATTCACCAGTCCAGACAGAACGTCTGAAACATCTACAAATCCATCCATTGTGTGAGAATTTCAGAAGCTTGGAATAAAAAAAATAAATAATCTGTTATTTTTCTAGCCTGTCCAAGAAAGTAATAATCCTGGGCAGAAAAACAATTCCATTTCTGCAAAACCATTTTAGAATAATGATGACAAAATTTAGGGAGTCTGGTATAACCAGACCAATGATCATTAATTCCAAGGATAACCTCTGCAAATATATCTTGTAGGGCCATCTTTCCAAGACAGAACCCAGTTGCCTTCAAGATGATAGTGCAAAATCAGAATTTCAAACATTATTGAGAATAGAATTCAGTATACAGACCGTATGTTAACAATTCCCCCCTTTTTCTGTTTATCTGTGGTTTCTTCGTGTCGTCTTAGTTGTGCTAGTAGTTCTGATTCTGTCTGTTTCTTGTTGAGTGGTAGGGAAGATGCAACTGCAGAAGCAGCCTCCACCAGTTCTGGATTTAAAGGCTTGCCTCTGTAAGGGACACAACAGATAAGGAAATAAAAAAAAATATTAAAAAGCCTTAATATATTTAAATTGACATTTCTGTACTTTCATGTCTTACAAATTTGTAAGTTACACTTACACATTACCCCAGTTACCCCTTGGGATGGCCAGGTTTGCCCTATATTGTCCTAATCATCAACTGCCAAAGGACACTAGCAAGCTCTTGTTCTTACAGCTGGGAAAACGGCAGCCCTACACCACTGCACAGCCCCTTGGATGTGAAGCTTGGAGGCAGTGTACACCCACAGGATTCTAAACATGATTTAACACATTGTGGGAGGGAGCCACTCACAAGACTTGACAGTCATGATGCCATTCTTAAATAATTTTTTTCTTCCATTTTCCTCTAAACAGTATTTCCCCTGTCCCATTAAAATAACTTTCCACAGGCAGATGCTATTGCTAGCTTTCAAGAGCCTCAGCCCAGAAAAAGGTTGCTTCTGGTACGAAGTGTACACCATCTTTTGTCCAGATCCTCCCCTGTGATTTAATGCAATCTACATCTGTACGCCACATTCTCTTACAAGATTCTTGTCCATGCTTGGAAGTGGCATTCGATGCTTTATTTTGGTTTAGATAATGAAAAGAACAATTTGCAAAGGGAAAAAAAAAAAAAAAAAAGAGAAGATAAAAGAGGCTGAGAATAGTTTGTTATACTTTACCGCTGCATCCCTTGTCTAGTTGTCTGAAGTACAGCACCTTCGCTGTCTGGGCTTCCCAGCTCGTTTATGGCTTGCTTTTTCATCTCGCGTGTTTTTAACTGCTGGAGTTTCTTCCTGTAGCTCACTTCTACCTTCATGTTACCAATAATGTCTAACAGCTTCTTCTTTGGTGTTTCTGCTGCACCCTGCTCACTCTTTGATGCCTCTTCAGTGGTGCTGTCTTTGGAAGGGGCAGGTTTATCTTTCTCAGCAGAAACCACGCTGCTTGTGCTGAAGAGTTTCTGTATTTTGCTAGATGATACACAAAGTTTAAATAAACAAATAAATTAAAATCAGAGGTTACAAATAAGGTCTGAGGCTAAATTTTTTAAGCCTACAAAACCCCCATCAGTTACAACTGCTTAGGCCTGAGAGCAAACTGAGTATGTTAAGTACATGCCAAACATGTACCTTTTGACTTCTGAGAAGGGCTAGGGCACTATTTAAAATTCTTACTGTTTATGGTTTCTTCATCACAAAAATCAAGTAAACAACTTTATTTCTTCCACAAATAAGCTGTGTTTAATCTAAGAACTTACAACTTTTCAAGTATTTCTGCATTAGGTAGCAGTCTAAGAGTCTGAATCCACTGGTACCTGATACTTAGATTCATGAGCACTACAGAACACTGACTGAAACTCTTAAAATAAGGCAACAAAGAGATCACTCCCAGCCACCTGGAAAAAGATTGTACACAGATTTAGCTTCACATTGTTCCATACTTGTGTACAACTATGGATCATAACCCCCCTACCCAATGCTCTGCAACGTAACAGCCAGGCATTTGTGCAGCCATATCGGAAACAGATCCTGCTGCAAGAAAATCCAGTAACTAACAAAAAAGTTATTTCAGTTATTTTTTCCCTCTGGAACAGCATTTTCACCTAGTTTACCAAAACACTGTAAAGAAGCTAAAACTGACATGGTGCAGGAGAGGATGTGAAGCCAGGGACAGCAGGGAGCTGCTTGGGATGCTGCTGCAACACAGACACAACTGCATTATCTAGAAGAAGCTATCATAACATTCGAAGAACTGTTCTCTTTAACATTCTAAAATTAAATGCTTGAATCTTTACATTTACAACTATTTCTTTTGTTGTTTAAAAGTCGCCTTCAAGTTACTAAAATAAAGAAAACGATTTACAACTATTCATTTTGATTCAAAGTAAAGCAGTTCAATAGATCTTAAAGCACTTCAATAGTTCTAAAGGAATTTTTACATACCTCCCCCTCCTCACACACACCTCTCTGGCTCAAAAAAGTAATCTGCTAGTCTCAGCAGGCATCATGCACTTAACAAATTGTCAGCATTAAATCCTAAATTTCAATGTTGAGAAGCAACAAAACCACATTACTGATGGTAGGAGTCTGCTGTTTTACAGTGAGCTGCTCTCCACAGATCTTTTTCATTAATTCAGGCTGCATCCTCCTTAAAACTATTTATCCACTCAGAGATCTTTGCTTACAGCAAGACTGCAAACCTTAAACATTTAAAGCCAGCAGTACACTGCAGCTCCTATTACTGTATTTCACCTACCATCGCGTTTGTCTAAGCCTAGCCTCAGACAGCAAACACAACTACACAAGAAACCAAGCTCCTTCATACATGAGGCTACCACGGTACTGGAGCTTGTTCAAAAATACTCAGGAGCCTTAACGCGAAGGCCAACGGGGACAACCTGCCCTCGGGGCACAGGCCGCGGCGAGCCGGGCC